GGTGCTTTGTCAAAAGTAGGGTTAGTGGCAATAAAAATTCTGAATACATTGAAAGGTTTATGAGTCATATATTAGCTAGTTCCAATGAGTAACTGATGAAAGAGACAAATACGATTTAAGAATATATGCAATAATAAAAAATAAATAAAAAAAACTTCTTTGTAAAGTGATGAGTTCACCCAAAAATCATTTACTCAGATTGTTCCAAACCCGTGTGACTTTCATTCTGTGGAACATAATTAAAGATGTTTTGAAGAATGCTTCAAGAATGAAAAAAGTTTTTTTTTTTTCCATAAGGCTTCCAACATTCAAATATGTTCCGCGTTCCATATAGAAGAAAGAAATTCATACAGGTCTGGAACAACATGAGAGTTAAAGCTTTCACTAATTCATACTGTTCCCCCAGAGGCGGACAGTAACTGAGTACATTTACTTGAGTATTGTACTTAAATACACTTATTGAGTATTGGTACTCTACTTGAGTATTATTTTTTCTGGGAACTTATGACTTTAACGTCACTACATTTGAAGACAAATATTGTACTTTTCACTCCACTACATTTCTATCAAGATCCTCGTAGTAGAAAGTCATTACTATGTAGCAGCTTTGAAAGTCAGTGGGTGATTTCTTTTCTTCTCTAAAACATGACTTTCTTTCTTTTTCAGACAGTTTATCAGTAATCACTCTTGTAGGGCTACATAACATGATTTCCCAGCATTTTTTGAACACTGACCAGTTGCAAATGTGATATTTATTTAAAGCAATTCAATAATAAGTTATATATTAGACACAATATTGTATGATTTTGCTAAATTGTGTACGTGAAAATATTACCTATAAAGCCACAGAAGAACTGTTGTGCATCTCCTAATAAAACACAGGTGTTGGACAGGTGAGGGCTTGAAGCAGCACTGCAGACCGTTCTGTGTGTGACATCAAAGTACAGCGAGAGCGATTAGACAGCATTTAAAAAAATTTTTTTGATGTTAAATAAGTCTTGCTGTTTTGCTTTTTTGTTAAAGCAGTGTTGCTGTTGTAAAGTTATACAGCTACAGTTGTGTTGCTGGGTTTTAAAGCCGGTTAGATTTTTTTTCTTCCTTATCACTCTGTATTTACAGGATTTCACTGTCCACTCTGTTCAAATGTGGATGAATGGCTACACATATGTGTGCACACACTGTCAGAACTGTGTGAGATCACTACACATCCTGCTTTTGTGGGGGTGGGTAGGGGTGTTAAATACTTTTTTTTTTTTCCCCCCCATAGGTTTTTAACATTCTAAAAGCTCTTTATTCCAAATATACTACAAGTTAGTCAGTGTATTCAGCAGGTGTAACTTATTCTAAGTTGCTTCAAAAGTATTGCAAGTATTACGTACAACAATAAAACAGTGTGTGTACGTGAAAATATTACCTATAAAGCCACAGAAGAACTGTTGTGCATCTCCTAATAAAACACAGGTGTTGGACAGGTGAGGGCTTGAAGCAGCACTGCAGACCGTTCTGTGTGTGACATCAAAGTACAGCGAGAGCGATTAGACAGCATTTAAAAAAATTTTTTTGATGTTAAATAAGTCTTGCTGTTTTGCTTTTTTGTTAAAGCAGTGTTGCTGTTGTAAAGTTATACAGCTACAGTTGTGTTGCTGGGTTTTAAAGCCGGTTAGATTTTTTTTCTTCCTTATCACTCTGTATTTACAGGATTTCACTGTCCACTCTGTTCAAATGTGGATGAATGGCTACACATATGTGTGCACACACTGTCAGAACTGTGTGAGATCACTACACATCCTGCTTTTGTGGGGGTGGGTAGGGGTGTTAAATACTTTTTTTTTTTTCCCCCCCATAGGTTTTTAACATTCTAAAAGCTCTTTATTCCAAATATACTACAAGTTAGTCAGTGTATTCAGCAGGTGTAACTTATTCTAAGTTGCTTCAAAAGTATTGCAAGTATTACGTACAACAATAAAACAGTGCATTGACATAAAAAAATGACATTTACTTTTGGTACTTAAGTACTTTTAAAAGCAGGTACTTCTGTACTTTCACTCAAGTAATGGAATTGAGTACTTTGTCCGCGTATTTCAGAAGGCGGGCCTTCATTTGATACAGGAACTATTCGAGCCGTTCATGCCGGACTGGAGAGAGAGGTGTTGTAATAATGTAAAATATGTGAAAAATAATGTTTTTCGAACAACCTAGTATGAGAGCCTGTTCTAGTACACCCCCAAAATAAAATCAAGACTTTGTAAAAGAGCATAATAGGACCCCTTTAAGGCTGGAATTTGCGGTGCAGAAACCTGTTCACATGTTCCGTTTTAAGGACCTGATTATCTTTTTTTCTTCATTTCGTGCTTGTTTCTTTTAGCTCACTAATCAGCATACGGTATTTATAGACAAAGATGTACAGCATCCACACTCTCTCTCTCTCTCTCTCTCTCCCACACACAAACACAAACACACACACAATCGATCACAAAAAATGACACGATATCACGTGTGTCATCATCTGTAGAGTTCAGTGACGTATTACACAACAGGAAGAAAGAAGTGGAGCAGGAAACGAATGGATAATGTCACTCCTTCAAAAGTGGTCGAAAACAAAGAGGTGCACAGCAGCATACAGCTTAAGCATACAACATATCCGCCCATAATACTGAGGGGAAAAGGCAAAAGTCATTAGCATATATTTCACATAGTCTACAGAATGTACACAAGCCCTGGAAATCAGTCTGTGCCGTTGAACCGGTTCAGGATTTGGTCGTATCGGACCAATCAGGAACCAGCTTTCCTGTATCCCACCTGCGTGGTCTATGTCAGCTCATATTCAAAGTCTCTGTCTCAACCCATAATTAACCAGGAAAGGGGCCAAGACGATTATAAAAAAGCAGCGGCTACAGCATACAGATTTCCCTTTAAAAAATGTCAAAGTAGACATGTGAAAACATATTTGTAGGTGTAAAGGTTTATGTAAGTGTATATATATATATAGAGAGAGAGAGAGAGAGAGAATTGTCACCGCAGATAGTTCTGACGCCGTGTTTCTGAGCCCTCATTGTGTCCATTAGAGCAAATAATAAAAAAATAATAATAAAACCAAAGACAATGACTGGGGGAAGGTTTGGTTGGTGCATCCATCATATCATGAGCTTTTCGGTTAGTTTTAGCCACGCCCCTTAAACCCCAGAGTGGGCGTGGATGAAAATTTTGTCATTAATCACTTACCCCCATGTCGTTCCAAACCCCTAAAAGCTTTGTTCGTCTTCAGAACACAATTGAAGATATTTTGGATGAAAACCGGGGGGCTTGTGACTGTAAATCACCACGCGCCAGCTGCTTAGCACTGCAGGAGACAGAAAGAAACGAACCAAATGAGAGAGACTGACAAGAGAGAATTAGACATAACCAGAAATTACACCAACACATCAAAACAGCCATCATTCATTGGACACATTATCATCACAAGAACAATAATCGTGATCATTATCACCAAACAGCCAAACAAGTTTAAAGCAGTTTAATCAAATAAAGTCAGTCATAGATGTAGATCAGAATGTTTAAAAATGTGTCTGATGATGGGATTTGATCCGTGAAAGTCACATTCACGCATGAGACTTGTTCAGTAGCTGTAAAATTGCCAGACGAAGTTTTCCAGTGAAGGTACCACATCACACGAGCAACGTCTTTCTGTGTTTTTATATTGCTGCCATTCACACGCCATCACCACAGTGTCCTCATTCCCTTCCCAACTTCATGAGGTGCATCCTGGGATGCTTTTGAGTTGACATTCTGTATATGATGGACACTTGTTGCATGCTCTTCCTTCACTATTCGCTCCAAATGATCGAATTGTAAGGACACAAACGTTTTCTATTTGACTATATTTAAAATTTTTCATCATCATTACTCCAGTCTTCATATGAACATGTCACAAGTCCAGTCTTCTGATTTGCTGATTTTAGGGGTGCTACTGATCGCTATCGGCCGATAATGGCTTTGGGAAGTTTGATTGACGATCTCTATAAAGGCCGATCTCATAAAACCGATCTCAAGCTGACGATGCGCCTGCCGTGAGAGGTTTAGCATGACATGCAGCGGCACCGTCGCAATCTCTGTCCAGCGCGGGTAAAATAATTATACTGCTGAAGGTGAGGTACAATTCATATTTCTTAATTAAATAACTTACAAAGTAATTTGAAAACTTTCTGTGAGACGTAATTTCACAAACAGCGTGAGTGAATCACTGTGCGCTCTCTCTTTACCTTTAAAAATGCGCAGATGGCTTCAAATCCGCACATATAACTATACTGCACTATAAGCGAGCTGCACAGTTCACGCAGGAATTGTCACTTGCACAATCGAGGCAGTGTTGCATCGTCACTAAAGTTTATAATTTGCATTTCTTTTTAGGTCTTGCCAGTGTTTAAACCATTCAGCACTTGTGCATTCTCCAAGAGACGGTGTGCTCATGCACACTCAAAGCGCGCGCACACATAAGGCGGCCTCACATACAGCTCGCAAAATCAGGCTGTTTGTAAACTATCGTGCAACAATTGCCCCATCGTTAAAACAAAATTGCACTGCATGGTCAAACATTTAGGTGAAATAATTATATATTTTTTGAAAAATGTCTAAAAAATGCTGCTCAGGAAACATTTCTTATTATTATCAATGTTGAAAACAGTTGTGCTGCTTAATATTTTGTGGAAACTGTGATACAGATCCTTTATATGAAATAGAAATCTTTTTTAACAATGTCTTTACTGTCATAAAAGTATTATTTTCTCTTCAAAGATGTTTTTTACTGACCCCAAACGTTTGAACAGTAGGGTATGCACAATTTGTATTTACTGTCAATCACCAAAAGGTTTTTAAGATTATGAGCATCAATACAGAACTTCAGGCAACGTTTCAACAATGTTTTCTTCAAGATCTCAAAATGAATGAGTGCTGGTAACTTTACAGCAGATGTTATATGCACGACAGCAGCTAATTTCCCTGTCTCACCTTCCAAAGTCACAGAGTTTGAGTACAGCTGTCTCTGGGTCGAGCAAGAGGTTCTGTGGCTTGATATCTCGATGGCAGATCCCATACGAGTGGATGTACGCCAAGCTGCGGAACAGCTGGTACATATACAGCTGAAAACACACATAAACAGTGACTTTAATACAGCAGAATTTGCGAGCTGAGATCTAAAAAATATTCCACTGTAAAGGTCCGAACGGAACAAAGACATGGCACAAACACTCATGTTTACACCAGTTACACCACAAAGTCCATGCTAGTAAGTTGTGCAGCTTTGGTTCATGAGACAGACCAGCAACAAACCAACAAGGAAAATCACATCTTCAAAATAGTGAAAAATGTCAGATTCTATTAACAGACGTTACCTTCACATAGACCATAGGCAGATTCTGCTTGGCTCTGCTGTAGTGTCTGGACACTCGGTACACGTTCTCAGGCACATAGTCCATCACCAAATTCAGATACACCTCATCCTTCTGTGGGCATGAAGATGACGACGGGTGAGGGACAAAAGGAAGAGAGTTTAGCAGGTTGATATCTAGACAACATCTTTAAGGGACCCCAAAATGAAAACATCTTTAAGTCCACCCAAAAATGAAAATTCTGTCATCATTTATTCACTCTCATGTCGGTCCAAACCTGTATGACTTTCTTCGTTCTGCGGAACACAAAAGATATTTTGAAGAATGTTGGTAATCAAACCGCTTCTGGTTGCCACTGACTTCCATTATATTGACAAAAAATAGAATGGAAGTCAATGGGAACCAAAACTGTTTTTGGTTCCCATCTTCTTTAGGAATGACATGAGAGTGAGTAATGACAATTATCATTTCTGGGCGATATATAGATGTAAGGTCACAGGTGTGTGTTTACTAGCTGTTATATACAATAGCATGGTTCACCAGATTATCAGAAAATAAATTAACATAACTATATGGTTATGTAATATACAAGTCATTTTTAGCTTAATTTTAAACATAACATACAAAGTGATATACACTATTGCTCAAAAGTTTTGGGTCAGTCTTTTATTTTTTTTTTTATAATACTTAAAATTATACTTTTATTCTGCAATAGCATATTAAATTGGCCAAAAGTGACAGCAAAAGACTTTTATATTGTATAGTATTTAAATCAGTGGTGTTCTTTTGAACTGTCTATTCATCAAATAATCCTGAAAAAACACGGTTTTTCCAAAGAATATTAAGCAGCACAAATGTTTTCAACATTGATAATAATAATAAATGTTTCTTTAAGCAGCAAATCAGCATATTAGAATGATTTCTGAAGGATCATGTGACACTAAAACTGGAGTAATGATGCTGAAAATTCAGCTTTGCCATCAAAGAAATACATTCAAATAGAAAACAGTTATTTTAAATCACAATAATATTCCACAATATTACTCTTTTACTGTATTTTTGATCAAATAAATGCAGTCTTGGTGAACACATGTGCCTTCTTTCAAAAACTCTTACTGATCCCAAGCTTTTAAACAGTAGTGTAATATTACTCTACTATTTTTGTATTTTGGTCATACATTATCACCCACCCGTAAACCGGAGTGTTTATTCCACTGTGTATATTCACTGGAACATGTGGATAACAAGAACCTTTCAGTGGTGGTCTTGCCAGGGGGTCTGAGACTCAACACACATGAGTCACACATAGACTATTTGAACAGTCATTATTTCTCTCTCTCTCTCTGTTGCCCCCTTAGAGATATAAACTCGTAAATGTAGTTGGAAAATTAACCTGCCAAAGGCACCAAGCCAACTCCTGCCTCACAACAGTGACATCCGCTCAGCGATTGTCCTGCGATTGGCCGAGCGCTGTGCTGTGATTGGCTGTTCACGCACATATACAAATCCTTAGATAAAAGAGGCTGCTAAATGACAAATATTAGTATCAATGCTCCATGCTGGTACTTTCCCATTGGTAGTGAGTGAAGACAAGAGTTTTACACATTTTGAAAGAGAGCCTTAATATCATTGATGCTGATTGGTCAATATAGCATTCCAACTATGCTAAAACACATGATATAGTAACATCTGCCAAAAACAACAACAACAACTCATAATGTACAGTATGGACTATATACTGCCTACTATATTTTAAAAGGCTTGTGAAACAAAGCAAAGATAAACATCTTAAATGATAGTATGCTACATTGTTGTCACATGACTTCATGACATACGCTAGTTTGTTTAAACATATACATTAGAAAATAATTAATATTTTTTTTCCACACAATTATATATATATATATGTGTGTGTGTGTGTGTATATATATGTGTATATATACACACACACACACACACACAAAATTATATAATTTAATATACATCTCAAAAATATATGACAGGTTATCTAAGATATTTATTTGCATATCATTTGTATTATTATTTTTTTATTATTGATGTTTAAAAGTTAGGATATCAGAAACCGATACATTGCTATTTCTGACTTTTAACCCATGTGTGTGTAAAAATGTCTTTCATTTTAGCAGTCCAATCAAATACGGAGTCAAGAAATAGTTAGAGCTTGGAAAGTCAAAACAAGTGCATTGCATTGTGGGATATAATAGCCAGTGTAGTGTGCTTTGTTGTAGACTGCACATTTTGGCAAATGCAGCTGGCAGTTGCATACTACTGAGTCTAGATTGCACTTCTGTTCTTGACTTCAAGATGAAGTGACTGCTAATATCCATGAACTTTGATTCAACTGCACAAATTGCCAAGTGCGAGTAAGCGGGTATGTAAATGGGTGAAAGTTCTGTCTGGACAGGGTTACATAACTGAACTGATCCTCTTTCTGTGACACCAGGGGAGCTGTCAGGACAAAGTCACAGTGGTCAGACACTATGTCACCGTGCTGGAATGGAGGGTTAAACCGGTGAGGACAGCCCTGCTCTTGCTGTCCGTCAATGAGACGGGCAGAGACAATCGCTTCACAGGTCACAAACATACTCTCCGCATGCTAAATCAACATGTTAACATGTGATTCTGCCTTGCTGTGGTGATAACATATCTCAGTACTCAAGAGGGCATTAGACTTTCCTTCAGATTGCAGCAATACAATACTTACATATAGTAGGGCTGGGTTTTGACACAAATTTCACAATTCGATTGGATTCTCCTTCACAAGCTTTCGATTCGATTACCGATTCGATTCACTATAGATTATTTTGGATATACTGTACATCAGGTACAGTACTTGCCAAATTTTCTCAAGGAAAAAAAATCTCTCAACTAATGCTGTAAAATATACATGAGAGTCATTTGGTTCTACATTACTATAATATTGAAGGTTAAAATTGACTGATTTATAGCCTACAACTGATAAAATTACACTTAAGTTTTTTAAATAATAATGTTACAATTACATAATAATATTTTTACTTCAATTCATTTTTTTTATATATATAAACATTTAAATGGTGGCTGTCATAAAAAATGTATGGATTTATTCAAACATAAATTAAACATAAGAACAGTAAAAATTATAATGAATATGTTATATTGTGCATATATTTAGCAAAATACCCCTCTCTACAGTTTATTTTTCTGGCTGACTAATGAGTTTATGGTCACCATATATGTTTTTCTGAGGTAAAGGTGATGTTACGTGACATTGTTTACAAGACATTATATTGACGTCTTTGCGCGGCTGAAACACTGATTGAGCGATTACATGAGACAAGATACGGATTGTAAAGTTGTTCTCTTTCTTTTAACTAAACTTCGGATGTTTAGTCGTTTTTTTGTGCCGAAGCTGGTATTAATGTGAAGGAGATGATCAGTTCACGTGCGCCTTTTGCTGCCGCGTCTGTTCAACTGATGCGCTACAGCAATCTGTCACTCCACATTAAAGGGGTCATATGATGCTGCTAAAAAGAACATTATTTGGTGTATTTGGTGTAATGAAATGTGTTTATGTGGTTTAAGGTTCAAAAAACACATTATTTTCCACATACTGTACATTATTGTTTCTCCTCTATGCCCCGCCTTTCTGAAACGCATCGACTTTTACAAAGCTCATCGGTCTGAAAAGCGAGGTGTGCTCTGATTGGCCAGCTATCCAGTGCATTGTGATTGGCCGAATACTTCAAGTGTGTGACGGAAATGTTACGCCCCTTACCATACTGTGATGCCGTGTCCCGGAGAAACGAGACAAAAACATTAAAACCCATTATAAACGAGGCATTTGTTGCATCCAGTGGGGACATAATTACGGATTATAATGACATATACTGTCTTTTTACGCTCTGCATCGTGCCGCGTAAACATAAAACCATGTCTGCATTTCTGACCGGAGAAATGACAAACAACAAGCGCTACTCTACAATGCTCAAAACTCGCGTTTGAATCGTCAGTGGCAAATTCTTTAAATATAAAAAACGTACTTACAGACGTACTTACAGTCTGTGAGTCAGAACAGCCGGCGTTGTAGTCTACTCTACCAGGATCAGGAAACAGTCCTCCATAAAATGTGCTGCACACATCTGAATATTTGGGTTGAACTGTTCTGAAACAGTGTTGTAAATACAACTTAACCACTGATTTCTAGTCGTGTCCTCTTTTGGAAGACCAAACAAAGTAGTTTCGCTTTCACAACGAAACGCACAGCACCTTCACAACATGGCGGCAGCAACAATACTACAGCGAGAATAAGTTACGCCTTCTTTCTTTGCGTGAACATTTAGGCGGCGTTATGCAAATCTTCCCACATCGTGATGTAGGTATGTGGAGGCGTGTTAGAACAAGCCGTTTTAGGTAGGCATGGTTGACTCTTAACTTTTATAAAGAATCTCTCTTTGGATTTGAGACATTAGTCTTTGCAACTTTACAGATCTTCTTTATGCACCAAGAGCTTGTATCACTTCAAAGAGAAAGGAAAATTTGAAATTGCATCATATGACCCCTTTAAACAGCGCCAAAACTGCATTTATTGTTTAAATACTGCAATACAATGGATAGACAGAATTTGAAATCTGAGACTTTGCTTCATATTAAAAGTAACCAATTGGGCTGCCTCATATTTTTGTGGAAACCGTTATATAAAGTTCAAAGAATAGCATTTATTTAAAATAGATTTTTTTTCTAAACATTATAAATGTACTTACTGTCACTTTTGATCAAGTAAATACATCATCAATGGGTATGATATGATGTATATAATGTTTCAGGCCATAGTGACATATCAATCCATCATGACTAACCATTCACTGGCAGCATCCTACTTTCTGTAGTGTTTCTTTTCTTTTATGCCTCTCAAAGCACTCCTCCTACATGATCTCTTTCACAACGTCTTCGTTTCTGTCTTTGTTACAAAGGAGAAGCCCTGCCGTTGTGTGTAAGAATAACTCAAGAGTAACCGTATACCCTGCGGCCTCTTGTATGTGCTCCGGTGTGTACGTGCGTCTTTAGGTTAGATGGCTGACATTTAGTGAACTGAATTGGTTTACGGTGGGATAAACCAATCTTTACAAGGCTCCACCATAAGGATGGCCTGGGTTCAGGTTCAACATAAGTAAACCAACATGCCCGTTAAACAAAATCATTTTCATTTGTTTGATATATTGATTACTGTGGTTGAAATCGGCTGATTTAAATATGTTGCCATCATAACGTGATCTCTCAGGCTAACACTGATTAAGATTTATCGAATTGCAAGGATTTCTGATCATCTTGGAAGCACCAGTTTGAATGGGCTACTCCAGAAAACTTGAGTAATGAAATGAAAATTCAGCTTTGCATCACAGGAATAAATTACAGTTAATTTAAATTGTAATAATATTTTGGTGAAATAATTCTTTCAAGAACATTAAAAATCTTTGCGACCCCAAAATTTTGAAAGTAGGATATTTATAGAGATATACACATTATAAACTTATGTCACTAAAATATGTATTTATTATATTTTTGAGGAAGTAATATTCTTAACTTCTGGCACAAACCAGCACAGAGAAAAATTATTTGTACACTAATATTTGACACTTCAATTGAATTAATTCAATCTAAAACATAAAGGGAAACAAAATACTGAACTCCCTCCCGACCTTGCCCCCCCCTCCCCTTTTGCCCCACGCACCACTGAACTCTGACCCTCTGATGGACTCTCCCACTCCCCCCTCACAAATACACACACACACTGTCACCTTAATCAGTCTGAATAAGCTCTTTTGCACTACAAAATCATTATATCTGCACTGTTGTTTACTTCACTGGTTTGCACTCTATCTGCCATGTACCTTGTGCTGCTTTATATATATATTTTTTTACCTGTTTTGTATATTTGTATAGTTGTATTTTTATATTTAATCAGTACGGCTCGGCTTCATAAACTGTAAACCTTTCTACGCGCCACAGGAGTTTTCCTTTTTCATTCATGGGAATGTGTATGTTCTGCTTCGACTGCACTGATTGGAGTGTTTTTGAAGCTGCAGCCACTGATCTGGATGAGCTCAGATACTGTAATTTCATATATCAGTTTATGTGAGGATATGTGCATTCCTACCCGGACACTCCTATCATTCAATAAAGATAAACCATGGTTTACTGGGAAACTCAATCAGCTTCATCATGCCAAGGAAGATGCTTACAGAAGTGGGGATAAAACCTTGTATAACCAGGCCAGAAACCGACTAACAAAGGAGATCAGAGAGGCTAAAAAAAAACTACTAGCTACTCCGAAAAGCTGAAAAAAACTCCCGGTATCAGTATGGACTGGTCTGAGGAACATCACTAAGTACAAGACACCATCCCCGCAGTCTGTGGAGAATCAACAACTGGCTGACGATCTGAATGTGTTTTACTGCTAGTTTGAAAAGCCAAGTCTCACACCCCACACCTGCTCTGATCTGCACTTCACCCCTCTCCGTCCCTCTCCTACCATTTAACCTGCGTTTCAGAAAGCAGAAGACTAGGAAAGCTTCAGGCCCAGACGTTGTTTCACCTGCCTGTCTAAAGGTCTGCGCTGACCAACTGGCCCCCATCTTTACACAGATCTTCAACAGATCACTGGAGATGTGTTAAGTCCCCTCCTGCTTCAAACACTCCACTATAATTTCAGTCCTCAAAAAAAAAAAAAATCACTGGACTTAACGACTACAGCAGACCTGTCGCTCTCACATCTGTGGTCATGAAGTCGTTTGAGAGACTGGTGTTGGCCTATCTGAAAGACATCACTGGACCCTGCTGGATCCTCTTCAGTTTGTGTACGGAGCAAACAGGTCTGTGGACGATGCAGTAAACATGGGATTGCATTATATTCTGCAACATCTTGATAGACCTGGGACTTACGCAAGGATCTTGTTTGTAGACTTCAGTTCGGCCTTCAAAACCATCATGCCTGATCTCAGACAAACTGAACCAGCTCTCCGTGCCTACCCCACTCTGTCCGTGGATCACCATGATGATGATCACACGACAGCACAGTACGGCTCGGCTTGGCTCAGTTTGCATTTCCACTGCGGTTTAGTACCGCTTTAGAATGGGCGGGATTATAGACATGTTATTATAGTTGGGCCGCCTCTACTGCCATGCTGAGCGACCTCCTGAAAAACATTTTCATTTCGCATCGTCCCATCAAGCTCTCGCTAGATCCGCGCCTCTGCTATCAACGAGAGGAACGTCTGTACTTCCTCAACAGACCATGAAACAGCCATTATTTTGTTGTTAAAAAAAAAGGTGCGTTCGTTCAAAAAAAGTTGTGTTCGATCCTCGCTGGCTGTGCTGATTTAATCTAGCGGGTCTAGTGTCTCGTGTTCAATGACGCAGGTAGTGGCGATTCTCTCCGGCAAATCAGTGATCAGCAGGGTATACACGTCACATTTTGGTAATGGTACGGCTCGCTTGGAACCTCAGCTGAGGTGGTACTGAAAAAAGTACCAGGTACCAGGTACAGTGCACAGTGGAAATCTCCCCAAAAGTGAGCCATGCCGTGGAAAAGTGCCAATAGACTCCATTGCTAAAAAGGCCCAGCAGAGGCTGTATTTCCTTCGCCAACTGAGGAAATTTAACCTGCCACAGGAGCTGCTAAAAGCAGTTCTACTCGGCTATCATTGGCCATTGTCCTGTGTTCATCCATAACTGTCTGGTTTGGTTCAGCTACCAAATCAGACATCAAAAGACTACAACGGACAGTCAGGACTGCTGAGAAGATTATTGGTTCCCCCTGCCCAACCTCCAAGATCTTTACACCTCCAGAGTGAGGAAAAGGGCTAAGAAAATCACTTTGGACCCCACACACCCAGGCCACTCTCCCTTTCAACTATTGCCCTCTGGTTGGCGCAACAGAATACCGACCACCAGAACAGCCAGGCTCAAGAACTGTTGTTTTCCACAGGCCGTATTCAGCCTGAACAATTAAAACTTTCATAAGTATATATTGCCCATTATAACTGACACACTTATACATAGCATATCTGTACATTCATTGAAACAATTATATGTTTTTTTTCTCTATATTTCTACTTCTGTATTATATTGCATTATTTAATTTTCTGTTTTTCTAATATTAGTGTTATATTTCATCTCTATTGTGTAATTCCTATGAATGTCTGCACTATCATGTATGTTTGCAATATTGTCTGTACTTTCTTCTGCACTGGAAGCCCCTGTCGCCAAGACAAATTCCTTGTGTGTGTAAACATACTTGGCAAAAAAGCTCTTTCTGACTTATAAAGTTAACACTTTACTCTGTAAAAACTTTCTCTTAACTATGTAATGCTATAGCATTCTTGTTATAGGATCCTGACAAAACTCTGATCCATTTTGTGTGATCTGTTTTCAGATTATACATTGAAAGGGAAGTCTGAACTCCCAAAGACCTGACTCGGTGAACTCTCTACACACACACACACATTGTCCCTTTGGTTGGCTGCACAGGAGCCAGAGCTTGTCATACAGTAAAAATAGGGCTGGTCTAACAGTTTATCTTCCCATCAATCAAAAGTTTCCTACTGAGCTGTCTCTGGCCACTGCTGTGACGGTTTTGCCCCCAGGACTATCGCAGGATTACTAGAAATCCTATCCACAGGTTAACGCTGGAGGGCATGAGCAGCCAGAGCTGTAAATCACAACAAAAATACCACCCTGCTTGGATAGCAGATGTCTTCTAGTGTATGTACTGTATGCTCGTGCATATTATTTTTAGATTTATATAATGATTTAAAGAAGAATGGCAGCATTTTGTGTATGTGTACCGCACCATGTTCCCTTCTGGGACATTATATATATATGTATATTTTATTTAATTTGTTCATAACGTACTGGAGAATCTTGAAAAAAGTCCCCCCAAATAAGGAAATAAAAAGAAAAAAATCTGTGCATATGTTGCATAAAAATTATAGAACCATTTTTTGGTTGAGATATCTTACTTTTTAATAAAATATATCTACTTATAATTTTATATACAAAAAATATTCAAAAGTATAAAAATGTCACTAAATATATGCATAAAGTAAAAAACTACAGCACCATTAAGATTGATTACTTATTTATTCAGGGTTTCCAAACTTCCATAAGATCTCATTACTTTTGAATTAATTTTACAAAAAATAATAAACAAGTAAACAAACAAATATATAGCAATATAGCAATGAAAATCATCGAAAATAGGCTTAATTTTCCTTATGTAATATATCATTTCTTTTCATATATTTATTATTTTTTTTTAAATAAAAACACTTGACTAAAAGGTCATACTCTATTGGATTTCTTTTCAAGTATGCTGGTGTCCAGAGTGTAACTCGGTGTGCAGGAGCCATACTACCTGCAGGGCTCTGATGCAGAGCCTCGCAAGCACAGCTCATTAAAAAGTTAGATATCAGACTGCTACTTTGGGTTGCACCATAGGAATACATATCCCATGACCTAAAGCATTTGCTGGAAACTGCTGGACAGCATGTTTTTGGTTTATAGGGCACGTGATGCTGCTCAGAAAAAAAAAAACAGAAGAAAAGCGGCACTCACTTTGTCTCCACTGGAGTAGAAGAAGTAGCGCAGACGGACAATGTTACAGTGATCCAACTTCCTCATGATCTGTAACTCACGATTCTGACAAAAAAAACAATTCATAGACAGAGAAAGAAAGAAAGAATCACGAGAAATGACATCAATATAATGCTAAATGTTTATAAGGCTAAACTTGTCACCTCAAGACTAAACATTTCTGATGTAAACACACACAACCAATGATAAACAGATGCTTACCTTAAACCTTTTATCCTGCAGCACCTTCTTTATGGCCACCAGCTCACCAGTGTTGCACAGCTTCGCTTGATATACGACCCCAAACGAGCCGTTCCCGATGACCTTTGTGTCCGTGTAGCTGACCTCCTGAGGTCGGTCGGGTCCCTGACCGGGGGTTGCGGCCACTGTGGTAACTTTACTGCCATCTTTATCTCCTAAACAGAGAGAGAATGTACAATGTACCATGAATATTCCATTGCAATTCACTGGTCTGTTTTACATGTTCACATGCGTTCTAGGTGTTACTATGCTCATTAGTGTGTGATCCTGCGTGTATCATTCATTCACCAGAGCTCATTTTCGAGTTAAACACGTCCGCTTCACACCTCATCACGTTTTCACACCCCTGAGCAAGTGCTTGACAACATGAAAAAGGGAAATATGAGGACAAAATGGGAACTGTCCTCAATTATTTAGTAGAAATATATTTTTATTGTGTAGCCAGGTCTGTGGTCAAGTAACAGAAAACTGACTAAATACTAGAGCTGCACGATTAATCGAACGCGATTGTCATGCGCATTTTGTTAGTAAAGCCGGTTCCGTAATCAGCAGTAAATCTTCAGCAGGATTTTTTTTGCGTAACTTCTCAGTTAACTATGGCTCTGTGAAGTAAATGCTGCTCCATCTGAAAGCATGTGAAAATACCACATTTAATAACATATTTTTACTCCAAACTCACTTCATAACGTCAGTCGAGTGTTTGAAAGAAATCCTTCTGTGAGATGATGTGGCTTCTTACACAGAATAAGGCACGCAACATATTTCATAGTATTTAAGCAGTGATAAAGCCATTGCATTATAAATATACTTTATTTTAATGAAAATTATAATAATAATAATAACTCAGATAAACCATATATTGTCATAATCGTGTGTTTATTTGTCACGTTGAATCAATAAAAGCAGTTAAATCTTCTGTTTATCCAGCTACCGCTATAGAAATTTTCTGTGTTTCTTCTGCAAGGCGTATTTGGAGTTTCAGCGTGAGAGCGCCCTCTGGCCTTTGGATGGAGATTTGGACTGAAAGATACGCATGACAATCGCAGCTTCTGTCGAATCGCGATTATGATTTATCGTGCGGCCCTACTAAATACTAAATACTTTTGTGAGTTTAAATTATATGGATAATGATTTTGTATAGCTAGCAAATGGGATGAATAATTTACACAATTAGAATTTTTGTTACACTTTATTTTAAGGTGCTCTTGTTACAATGTAATTACACATACTGAGTAATATTAATTAACTACATGTACTTATATGGTTAGGGTTAGGATTTGGGTTTGGTTTAGGGTTACTTGCATGTAATTATGCATAATTAATTGTTATTATAATAGTAAGTACATGTAACAAGTGTAACAAGGACACCTTAAAATAAAGTGTTACCGATAATTTTAATTGGAAATTAAAGATAAGCTCATCGTATAAAAAGTGATCTAGTCCAGGCCAACGCTTAGGCCACAGAAACTTAATGTCCACTAGGAAATAACATCAGTGATCTTCCATTATTCTTTTTATCACCATAAAGTCGAGATATTTCCATTAACCTATCACATTCTCATTAGTTACACTACCGTTCAAATGTTTGGGGTTGGTAAGATATGTTAATGTATTTTTAAAATACGACTGTTATGCTCACCAAGACTGCATTTATTTGATTAAAACATGCAGTAAAACAGTAATATTTAGAAATGTAAAATATTTAATATTTAATATTAATTTATAACAATTTAAATATATTTTAATAAATTATAAAATGTAATTTATTCATGTGATCAAAGCTGAATTTTCAGCATCATAACGCCAGTCTCCAGTGTTAAATGATCCTTCAGAAATCATTCTAATATGCTGATTTGTTGCTCAAGAAACATTTTTTTTTATTATTAATGATGAAAACAGTTGTTCTGCTTAATAGTTTTGTGGATTCTTTGAATAATAGAAAGAATTTATTTGAAATTTATCTTCTGTAATATTTAAATATATTTACTGTCACTTTTGATAAATCTAATGCTTTTAATATATAAAAAATGTATTAAAAATACAAATATATATATATATATATATATATATAAAGGGGTGGTTGATCAGCTTTTTTCGAAGGCTTGATTGTGTTCAGTGCAGTGTAACATGTGCTCATGCTTCGTTTAAAAAAAATAATAAAACGCATTATTTTCACATATTTTACCTTAATTCTACACCGCTGTTTCCGTTCTCGTCAAAACAGTCTGTCAAGTTCCTGGTTCTCTGAAGCCCCTCCCTCAGAAATACGCAGTCAGGCTCAGATTGGTTAGCTGGCCCAGTGTGTTGTGATTCGCTAACTGCCTAGTGCACGTTGTCCGGAAACATCATGCCCCCTTCTCATTACAGGTAGTTGCATGTTCTTGGGGGCAGTGTTTATGTAAATGTCAGGGTTTGTGATGTCACAAACCCAGGAAGAAGCTCGTTGTAGTCCCTACCAGCCTTTATTTGTAGTCCTAAAGTACAGCAATTTCTTTAAAAGAAAATCTCTCTTTGCATTGAACTTTGAGCGTCGTAACTTTGCAGACGTTGTTTATGCTCTAACAGCAACACTACACATTAACTGAAGTTAAAAAAAATGTTTAATCATAATCAACCACCCCTTTAAAAATTATAAAAATATAAATATATTTTTAAAAATGTTAGACTTTCAATCAGACCCATTTCTGGAAAAAAAAAAAACCAAGGTAAGGGAAGCAATTGTGTATCTGTTCTTCAGTGTCTATTACAGACACTCCCTACAGAATGAAAGCACAAGGAAGGAAATATCAGCTTTACCATACAGGTTTCAAAGTATAGACAGTATCATGATTCATTCATCACAGAGCATATAAATCAGGAATGCATCAGTGTTACAAAAATAATCTGTGTGAGTGTATGTTTGGCAGGTCAGGTGAGCCGTGGAGTAAAGTGCAGACCGAGTGCACGTTCAGCACGGGGAAATGTGATGAGTCAGAGGGCGTGAGTGTGCGCACACAATCGCACGATGAGCTAATAAACATCTCGGCTCGGCAGCATGGAATTTTAATTGAGTCACGGCCCATTACTTACCCAGATCATCTTACCATCCAGCTCGCGAACCGACTAGTCATTTAGCAATTCAGATAAACCGAGGCATTTAATATAAGACGCAGCTTAGCTTAATCTTCTCCAGTCTAAGAGACTTTTCATCATTACGGCTACAGCATTAATCACATTATCTCACATACAAAATGATTATCCCTCTCCATCTGCAACGTTAAGAACAGATGAAAATTAAACGATCACAAATAAACATGAACTGATTATGAATATCTAATGATTAGCCCTCCCTGCAGAATTTAAACACCAACATTCTACATATCAACCCTTGCGTATTGTTATTTTATTATAAAGAATATTAGTCAGGATGAACGTCATAATTAACTTGACACTTACGAAAACAGGCTGTGACGCACTGATGTTCAATGCATTCAACTGGCTGTACTAATATTAAAATCCTGAATGATACCAATAAGCCAATAATTATTTTCATATTATGGCATTATTATGTACAGTACGCAAAATGGATATTCATTTTGAGATTTACATTTAACATTTTTTTATTTTACACCATATCATTTAAAAGTTTGGGTTCAAAAATTATTATTATTTATGTTAAATAATACATTTATTCAGCAAGAACGCATTAAATTGATTAAATTAAAATATATTAAAATAGAAAACAGCTATTTTAAATTGTAATAATATTTTACAATATTTCTGTTTTTACTGTGTTTGTGATCAAATAAATGCTTCCCAATCATAGTTATTAATGTTGTGCACTGCTGTTTGGGCTGCGTGTGCTGAGCTAAAGATGATCATCGGTAAACTGAAGCGCTCTTTTAACTTAACCAAACGCATTCTATATGAGATAAATCAGATATACATCAAATAAACACAATATTACAATGTACAATTGCACAAAAGGCTGCAAACGAACAGCGCGCATCTGAAGTGTCTCTGAAGGAAATAATGCATTATTTATCGGCTTTAAGATATCGGCCAAATTTTCTTATCAGGCCGATACCGATAACAGAAAAAATGAGCCGATATGGGCCGATACCGATATGGTGGCCGATATATCGTGCATCCCTACAGATGAGCATAAGACACTTCATTCAAAAACATCCTACCAACTCTATTCATTTAAACGATAATGTGAGCATTAGATGGCAGCAAAGGTAATCTTAATGTAAAAACTGTAAAAAAGCAGTTAAATATCCAATATCTGCTGGTATGTGCCAACTGATAACTATTGTACCAAGATATTATTCTTTAGGCTTTTTGTCCACTGGACATTTTTTGAAAAGACATACTTTTACTGTTAACAATATATTAATGATCAACACCAGTACAATTGACCCTTTGAACAAACTTCTGTCCCTCACAGGCTCGTTTGTCATTTCATACACATTAGACACCTACCCTAAGGAGGTCTATAATAGCTTTAAATAGGCTTAAACCCTAATTTGCTTGGACAGGCTCATGGTGTTATCTTCAATACGAGCTATGAAATGTAATTTCACAGCTATGAAGAGAGGCATGTTGCTGTTCTCTGACAAGCGTGCCTAGACACAGACTATTTGGCGTGTGACGGTAATGAGTGCATCACATGCTCAGGTGTAGCCCCTCTATAGAACACACCCTGTGGAGGAAGTCACGCTGCCTCAGGCCTGGGCGTTGCTATGGCAGCAAGATGAGTCAGCTGGTAAGGCTGATGCTGGTAGTCGGCTGACAGAACCCCAAAATCAAAATATAAAAATAAATGCTTGTTTCATAATATGGCTTTTTATTATTTAAATAAGCATAATTAAATTAAATTATATTAATTAAATTATATTGAATAAAAATTGTTATAGTCTATTGCTGTGTGTACATTAATGAGGGAAAAAAATTAACTTAAATGATTTTAGCAAATGGCTGCAATATAACAAAGAGTGAAACATTTAAGGGGGTCTGAATACTTTCCGTACCCACTGTATATATATATAAAGTCAGAGTTTTTAAGATTTTTTAAAGATTTTTTTAAAGAAGTCTCTTATATGCTAAGCAAGGCTGAATTTATTTAAACAAAAATGTATATAAAAAAAAACTATAATCTTGTAAATTAACGCAGTTTAAAATAGCTGTTTTCTATTGTAATATATTTTAAAATGTCATTTATTCCTGTGATCAAAGCTGAATTTTTTTCAGCATCATTACTCCAGTCTTCAGTGTCACATGATACTTCAGAAATCATTCTAATATGCTGATTTGCTGCTCAAAAAACTTTTTTATTATTAATATCAATGTTGAGAACAGTTGTGCTGCATAATATTTTTTTTTGTGAAAACTGTGATAAAACAGTATTAATCTGAAATATAGACCTTTCAGACATTATAAAAAAAACTATTTAATGCATCTCTATTGAATAAATTATACATTTCTTTCCGACCTTTTAATCAATTACTTCATGTTTGGCTTTTAAGGTCAAATGAGGAACTTTTTAGGGAACTAAAAAAAGAAATGTTTCAAAACATTGCAATAGAGTATCACTTGATGATAGAATCAGTTAGATGTGTTTAGATGTGTCTAATATTGTATATATTTAGTGAACTGAATTTAATAAATTCTATTCTTTCTTTTTTTTTCGCAATTACATTGTTGTACACGATGTTTAAGGAAAATACAAGATGCACAATGTCTGCTTTTAAACCCTCCAAAACCTAATCCCAAGTAGAAAATAATCTAACGAAACCATTATGTTTCCATTATGGTACAACACCATTAGACAGACATGGATGTCTTAAGTGGCGGTCAGAGTGCCAATCCACATGTCCTCCCCTATTGTTAAGTTGCCTGTGACACTACAGACAGCTGCTGTAGGTTTAGGCACTTGGAAAAGAGGTAGAGTCAGAGGTGAGTCACATGCATTCCTCTGATCCTCCTTTCCTGAGGAGCACAGTGGTGAGATGCACATCATTAGTGCAGGAAATGAGTGATCTCTCAGGAGAGGGGCCTGTCAATCAAACCATGGGGCATGGGTTCAAAGAGGGGCAATGGACAATTTTACGGCTCATGCAGCTAAACATTATCCAGCTAGAAAGTGAGATAGCAAGTAGTAAGCTGTGCCTCAAGACATTTATGGCTTATAAATCAATACCTATTCAAGGATCTCAGAGCACTAAAACAAGCCCTGAGCTCATCGTGGAACATCTTCCTTGGTAGTACAATGAATCTAGCCAGCTAAAAGGGTCTCAGATTAAGCCCTTAAAGGGATAGCTCACACAAAAAAATGCAAATTGTGTCATTTTCTCACCCTCAAGTTGTTCCAAACCTGTACGGGTTTCTTTCTTCTGTTGAGTACAAAAGAAGATATTTTGAAGAATGCTGGTAACCAAATAGTTGACGGTAGCCATTGACTTCCATAGAAGAAAGAAGCTCATAAAGGTTTGGAACAACTTGAAGTTAAAGTAAACGACGATGACAGAATTTTCCATTTTTGGTGAACTGTCCCTTTAAATGACAGTTTTACGTTTCCACAGAAATATTCTGATCAGAAAAATGGTCATGTATATATCATAAAAATGGACCAAAACTGGACAATATTTTTTAAAATCTGTAAAAGACAATTTGGCATATTCTTTAATCAGACATTCGGTTCACGTAAACGCTTTATTCGGAATAAACGCTGTAATTAAATTATCATGTGACGGCTGTCTTTTTCAGACTTCCGTAACCTGGAATATTTGTTGAAACTGCTTATGTTTAGTATCACAGGGATACTATTATAGTTATAATTAATATTTAGAATTAGTTTACATTTTTAGATTCGCTTTCATTTTATTTTAGCTAAAAGTTTTAGTAATTTTGCTGTATGTTTCTGTCATTTTTGTTAATTTCTATGTAGCTTTTATTCATTTTTATTTGTAGTTATTTTAGTACATCAAATTAAACCATGCGGCAAATAGCTGAAATAAAATACGCTTTTTTATTTTATTTCAGTAAATGTTTCATTTATTTCAAGCAACGGAAATATTATTATGTAGATTGTGTCTACATGATGCTTATATGAAAAAAATTCAGATAAAATTTTGACAATTCTTAATCGCAAGTTAACGCAGTCATTATCTTAGCCGAAAAAAAGGTCTGAGCACTGCAACCTCCCTGGTATAAACTACTGAGCTGTGCAATGGTGTCCAGTCAGGGTGCTTCCTTAGTGCACAGTGCAGCAAATGTGTTTCCATTGAGCAGATCTGATAATAAGAGACAGGACCTGACCCATCCCTTGAGATCCAGGCAGCATTACATTAGGAGCAAGATGACATGACAGATGCTCACAAACTGTATATCATATAGTGCTGGGCGGTATACCGGTTCATACCGAATACCGGTGTTTATTTTTGTTATGATATGAATTTTTTAAATACCGGTGTATGTTGCTTAAACAACGTTCGGAACGCGACACTGTTTGAGAGGGGTCCCTTTTCACTGTTGCACTGTGGTGAGGGAACAGCTGTATGTGTTACTAAGCGTGAACGTTCCGAAACTGAAGCTGTAGAACTAATAGAACGTGATGACACAGAAGAACTCATCCACAATATCCACACTGACCCCCACAAATATCCACCGCCCCCTGCCATCAGCTCCCGCGTCTCACACACACACACACGAGCGCGACTTTAGCACTAGATTTACCTTTTAGCGGGCTTTTTTTCCATAGGATATTCACACTGACAAACCTAGCAACTTTTTTGGATAAACCTTAGCTATGGTTCAGTTGGAAGATTTCGCCAGTGCTGTCCCACGAACGCAAGGTCTGACTTTCCCGGAGAAGTGTCGCCTCTCTCGGCGTCTGTTCTGTGCGGCGAGCGGCAGAGAAGCAGCGCATTCAGTTGGCCGCTTTCTGTGCAGCGAGCGGCAGAGAAGCAGCGCATTCAGTTGGCCGCTCCGCAGCCGCCTCGTCAATAAATGAGTACAAAACAGCGTTTCCTAGCACCTGTCGCTTACCGATTGTTTGGAATTATAAATATGAGCGTAGTTCGTCTGTTAATATCACATGCACTTTTTTGTATGTTTTTTTTAGTTCGTTACTCAGACAGTGCGCTGCGTGAGACAAAAAAGTAATACCCGGTCATGCTTGAAAAAAAAAATACCGTCATATACCGTGAAACCGGTATCATTTAGAAAAAATACCGTGATATACATCATATCACGGTATTTACAATATCATACGTATGCATCCTAATCAAAACCAGGTTTGAAATTCTTGTTTTTCTTATAGTGTTTGTCTGAGAATTATTACGATATAGTAGATGTTGATACGTACTGCTGACTTTCATGTTGCCAAAGGCTGAAGGCTGCGGCACTGGCTTGCAGCTCTCCGCAAATGAGGAGGTCCTAGGCCGGCCTGACATCTCCAAGATGCCGTTACTCTTTAACCACGATCCTTATAGGCTCCTTTAACACAAGAGTAAATATCTGGGGTCCAAGTCTGCTTTTGTTTTAAGCAAAAACTCCAGGATATCTCTTCTAATGCAGTGAATTCAGAGGTGGTCAGCTGATTGTAGATGAAGATATCCGTTCATTAACCATCAAATGTGCCGTTTAAAAACACGTTACAAACCAAATGGTACAAATCAGTCCCCGTTTTAGACTTGCCGATGATAGTGTCACAGAAAAATGTCTATGAAAGACTAAATCACATGATCTTGAACAGATACTCAGCCTATATCAGTTGACATCAGCATTAACTGTTATCTCGCATGCGCACAGATGGAGTCTGCCGAGATCACATAAACTTAATCATAATATATCTTTCACTTTATATCCTTCAGGTGTCGCCGGCGTGTATCGATAAAGCTGACACCGAGACTTGCCATGGCCACATCAGCCCATGAATATTGATCTAGATCCGATAAAACGCCAATAACTCCGGCATTTTTCTTCCAACTGACGGGACGGATGTCGCTAACTTTTCTCGAGCCCTCAAAACACACAGAATCCCTGAAGAAGATGTTTGCTTTCGACGGACACAGCCCCTCTGGACGCCTCCCGCTAGCGATGTGAGTGAGATTCGTGAACGAATCTTTTTGAATGAATCTTTTTGAATGAATCTTTTTGAATGAATCTTTCAAAACGCTCCAAACGACTCGTTCCTGACTCGGACTGAGCTCTTCTTGATTTCGCTAATAGTAGAGTTTACGAATATTTGACTAACTCGTTGTAAAATACTTTAATAGCCAAATTGCAGAAAAGTTTACCAGTAAAACGTAGGTCTACTGTAATTACGTTTAGGACGACTGATTCAGCTAAAATGTAAATACAATAATCAGGATTTTTTTATGTAAATTGTGTTTTTATGAGTTGGGTCATTGCAACAAACTGACTGAACTGGGACATTAAATAAATAAAACTTAATCCGAGAAAAGCATAATAAACAGTAACGTGTTCATAAGTGGCTTTATTGGAACGTTTTAGAGCCACTCCGGGACCACGTGGTGGCGTAATTTCGTAATGACGGAAAGAATACCTGAAATGGTTCTTTGAAATGAACTGTTCAAAAGAACCGATTCTCGGAAATGAGTCAGACTTCCCACCACTACCTCCTACCGGAAAGTAAAGGAAAGCGCAGTACTCGCTCTCATCTGCTGCTGGGACATTACTGCCTCTACAGTCGCTTTGGAAAATAATACCTCTTTTACGTAAAGACAGGCTTTCAAACGCTGAAAAACGCAACTTTTACGTGATTTCATGTATATATATATATATGTAACATCAATACATGTTACATATATATACAAAAAAAGCCCTGCGTACGGACGTCATGACGTACGCAGCGTGGTACGTCATGACGCCATTGCGTCCAGCGCCAAGGAAAAATGGCGGCTGTGCAAGATGGACCGATGGAGCTGGACGCAGAGAAAGAGACAAAGCCAGAGATTCTCAGCGATGGGACGTCTAACCTCTCGGGGAACACAGCGAGCGGGACGCTGTCCTCATCGCCCCTCACCGCTGCTCCCGCCGGCGGAGCCCCGAAGATGGAGGACCAGCAAACTTTGATCGCAGTTCTGCAGTTTCTAAAGCGGAATAAACTGTCGGAGTCGGTGGAGATCCTGCGGCGGGAAGCCGGTTTAGGAGAACATCAGGAGGACTCACAGGCTACCGATGGCAGCGGAGGAGGGAAGGGAGACGGGGATGGAGGGGATGCAAACTCTCTGCTCAGCCGGGTGTTCATCACATCAGCAGCCGCCCCCCAAAGCATGCTCGTAAAGAGTGAGTGTCACCTACAACTTCTAATTGCCGATATTTACCATACAATGTACCTTTAATACATAAAGTAAAGGTGTACTGCACCTTTAAATTGTTAAAACAGTGCAAAATCAGCTTTATGCCTTTCTAATGTTTTGCTGTAGTTTGTACAGAAGGTTAGTTGCATCAACAATATAGCCCTCCAAATATTCTTGCTTATGTTTTGTACATTTGAACACTGAGTTTCCAACATATTTCACTGGCATTCCACATGCACTTTGTGCAGGAAGTAAATGCATAAAAAAAGTTATGGTTACATTTTTCTGTAATATACAAGCAGAAAAATAAACATTACTGGAATATAAGTATGTTACTATAGTTACTATAAATAATACTACATGCATTATAATGTAGATATCAGAATTCTTATAGGTAACTAAAACTGTACAAAACATTTTCATTGTCTTGAAATAAAATTAAGCAGCACAGCTGTTTCCGATAATGATAATAAATCAGCATATTAGAATGATTTCTGAAGGATCATGTGGCACTGAAGACTGGAGTAATGATGCTGGATATTCAGCTTTGCTTCACAGGAATAAATTATATTTTAAAATAGAGACCATTATTTAAAATTTTAATAATATTTCATATTATTACTTTTCGACTATTTTTGATCAAATAAATGCGCCCTTGATGAGCAGAAGATACTTCTTTAAAAAATATAAAAAATCTTACTGATCACAAACTTCTGAAAGGTAGAGTATGTATAGACAAAAACAGAATAATAAAAAAATTAATAAGCGAAAATGCACAATTACTATAAAATTGAAATGAAAAATATAAAATTAAAAATACTAAAACTGTACAAAACATTTTCATTGTCTTGAAATAAAATTAAGCAGCACAGCTGTTTCCGATAATGATAATAAATCAGCATATTAGAATGATTTCTGAAGGATCATGTGGCACTGAAGACTGGAGTAGTGATGCTGGAAATTCAGCTTTGCTTCACAGGAATAAATTATATTTTAAAATAGAGACCATTATTTAAAATTTTAATAATATTTCATATTATTACTTTTCGACTATTTTTGATCAAATAAATGCGCCATTGATGAGCAGAAGATACTTCTTTAAAAAACATAAAAAATCTTACTGATCACAAACTTCTGAAAGGTAGAGTATGTATAGACAAAAACAGAATAATAAAAAAATTAATAAGCGAAAATGCACAATTACTATAAAATTGAAATGAAAAATATAAAATTAAAAATGTACAAATTTATTCAGTATATTAATAAGCTTTAGTAAAATCCCAATACAAAAATGTACATAGGTATACATTTAGTACTATATATATATATATATATATATATTTTAATAATGAAAAAAATTGTCAAAATGCATGGGGGGGGAAAAACTTGAAAAACCGTGTTCGGCATTCGGCCCAGTGTTTCATTTTGTTCAGTTTCGGCTTCGGCCAAGCATTTTAATTTCGGTGCATCCCTAGTCTTTGTACCGTGTAGCATCTTTTGCTGTGATCTACCTGCTTTTTCAATATGCAGCTGTATCATCAACATTTCCAGGTGTGATTTGCCATTTATGTTTATGTTGTCAGAAGACCAGCCGGATGTCAGTGTGGTGTTGTCAGCGTACAGCCAGCAGGGAGACCCCCCCCTGTATCAGGTGTACTACAGCGGCCTGAAGAACTTCATCGAGTCCGTGCTGGACTGTCACCGAGCGGAGCTGTCCCAGCTCTTCTACCCTCTGTTCGTCCACATGTACCTGGAGCTGGTCTACAACAACCATGAGACTAAAGCAAAGGCTTTCTTTGACAAGTAAGCATCAGATCTTGTTTACGTTGTGGAATTAATGAGGGATGATATGATATAATGTAATTTGACTGTAATGACCATTTTTATTCTGTAAATCTAAACACTGGACTCTTCAGTAGTGGCTTAACCAGTTCGTTTCCTGTTTGCTGATAGGTTCAGCGGCGATCAGGAGTGTTACTATCAGGATGACCTGCGCATTCTCTGCGGCCTCACTAAGAAAGAGCACCTGAAGGGGAACGAGGTGCTGCTGGACTTCCGCACCAGCCGTTTCGTGCTGCGCATCTCCCGAGACTCGTACCAGCTGCTGAAGAGACACTTGCAGGAAAGGCATAATAACCAGATATGGAACATCATTCAAGAGCACCTGTACATCGACATCTTTGACGGCATGCCTCGCAGCAAGAGCCAGATCGACAGCATGTCCGGCAGTCTCGCGGGAGAGGCCAGACGAGAAGTCAATAAAGCCAAGGTTAGACATGTTTCCATATGGAAAATATACACTACCTTTCAAAAGTTTGAGGTTGGTGAGATTTTTAAAAAATGTTTTTGAAAGAACTCTTTTATGCTCACCAGGGCTGCATTTATTTGATGAAGAATAGTGAAATATTACAATTTAAGATAGCTGTTTAATAACTGCTTTCTATTTGAATATATTTTCAAATGTAATTTATTTCTGTGATGTCAAAGCTGAATTTCCAGCATCAATACTCCAGTCTTCAGTGTCACATGATGCTTCAGAAATCATTCTAATATGCTGATCTGCTGCTCAAGAAACATTTCATTTTTGTGGAAACCGTGATTTTTTTTTATTATTGTTTTTTTCAGGAATTTTCGATAAATAGAAAGTTCGAAAGAACAGTATTTATTTAAAACAGGAATATTTTGTAACATTGTAAATGCCTTTTGGTTCATTTTATGCCTTGCTAATTTGTTTTTAAAAAATCTTTTGAAAGCTAGTGTATATAATAGATGTTTTTTAATATCATTAAGATACTTGATGGTATCACAGTGACAGAGTTTGCACTTTGAGGAAATTATAAGGAAAGGCATTGAAAGAGATTGAAAAAAATGATCTTATAATTGCAGTCTCTTGAACTGAAATCATCTCTTATTTGAAAATGATTGTGTGTTTTAATGATGTTTGTTTTGTTTCTAATGGTATCAGGTATTCTATGGCCTGCTAAAGGAGCCAGAGATCGAGGTCCCGTTAGATGATGAAGATGATGAAGCAGAGAATGAGGAAGGGAAGCCCAAGAAGAAGAAAACAAAAAAGGACAGTCTGGGCTCCAAGAGTAAGAAACAAGACCCCAACGCTCCTCAACAGAACAGGTATGACATTTTTTTTTTTAAATGCATAATGATTACCATGAAATTATTAAGCAGCACAAATGATTCAACATTGATAATAATAATAAATGTTTATTGATAATACATCAGCATATCAGAATGATTTCTGAAGGATCATGTGACACTGAAGACTGGAGGAATGATGCTGAAAATTTAGCTTAGGATCATAGGAATAGATTACATTTTAAAATATATTACAATAGAAAACAGACTTACTGACATAAATCTGACTCCAAACTGTTAAAAGGTAGTGTATATTGGACACATTTATTTTTCATGAGAATTTAAAGATGATGCTTAGAAATTATTTGAATCTGGATATATAGTTTCATAACCTCTGACATACAGGATCCCTCTGCCGGAGCTGAAGGACTCGGACAAACTGGATAAGATCATGTACATGAAGGAGAGCACCAAAAGAATCCGGCTCGGCCCCGAGAACCTGCCTTCCATTTGCTTCTATACGTTCCTCAACGCCTTCCAGGTTGGCAGTGTTTTTGTTGATGCTTTAGTTGGGTGTAGCTGAACTTCACACCTGCTGATCGTGTGTTGTCTCTCAGGGTTTGACGGCGGTAGACTTCACCGACGACCCCGAGAACCTGCCTTCCATTTGCTTCTATACGTTCCTCAACGCCTTCCAGGTTGGCAGTGTTTTTGTTGATGCTTTAGTTGGGTGTTGCTTAACTTCACACCTGCTTGATCGTGTGTTGTCGCTCAGGGTTTGACGGCGGTAGACTTCACCGACGACTCCAGTCTGTTAGCGGGAGGGTTCGCAGACTCCACAGTCCGCGTGTGGAGCGTCACACCCAAGAAATTGCGCAAAGTCAAATCCACAGCAGGTACGTACCTCCATAATCACTCACATTTGAGAGAAAACTTTACATTTCATATCTTACAACTTTAACATTCCAATACCAATATTTCCACTTTTAAAGACAATCCCAAATGTTCTGCTTCTAGACCCCAGTGTAAGCGGTGTATGATGCCTTGTATGCTTTCAATTATGCTGTCCTATTCTCTAGAACTGAATGTGATTGATAAAGAGTCTGATGACGTTCTGGAGAGGATCATGGATGAGAAGACGGCCAGTGAGTCGAAGATCCTCCACGGTCACAGTGGGCCGGTGTATGGTGTCAGCTTCAGTCCAGACAGGTATCAAATGTGTCTTCTGAGTATCTCTGAGTAATACATGACAACAGGGGAGCTGTGTAAGCATAAGAACGACCAAACAATTAGTTTGCTATGGACTAAACACGTTTGAAGTGATTTGATATCTTCCTGCAGCAGCTGATCTGACAGTGTGGTTTGATATCTCTGTGTGTCTCTCAGGAACTATCTGTTGTCCAGTTCTGAGGATGGTACAGTCAGACTGTGGAGCCTGCAGACGTTTACGTGTCTCGTGGGGTATAAAGGACATAACTATCCAGTGTGGGACACTCAGTTCTCACCCTTCGGCTATTACTTTGTGTCAGGAGGACACGACAGAGTAGCACGGTACGGTAGATTCTCATTATTGTAATGGTTTTTTTTTTTCATGTTTTAATTTTTTTTATATAAAAATTGATAGTATTTTTTTTGTTTGTGTTGTGATATTATATAATTATATAGATATTAAATAAATAAAAATTATATATTTATATACAAACGTGTGTGTGTGTGTATATATATATATATATATGTGTGTGTGTTAATAATAAATATATCTCTAAATATTACAATAATAATAAGGCTTATTTCCAAAAGCAAAGTCTTTTGATTTTAGCGAGAAATATGACCTGAATAACTTTTGACAGGTTTTTCACCCAAATAGCTTAGCATTATATGAGTGTCATATAGTCTGTTTCCAAATACGGTTATGACGAGACCCATCTATGAATGACAAGATATTGCAAATGTTTTCAAGACCTTAATCAAATAGGATATCTTCATTTGCTTCCCAGCCTCTGGGCGACGGATCATTACCAGCCCTTGCGGATATTTGCTGGGCATCTGGCTGACGTCACCTGCACGCAATTCCACCCCAACTCTAACTATGTGGCCACAGGCTCGACCGACCGCACTGTACGCCTCTGGGACGTCCTGAATGGAAACTGTGTCCGCATTCTCACAGGTCACAAGGTATCGAAAGCTTCCAAAGGTGACTGGAAGATATGAGCACTGCACAGGAAATCCCATTCGTCTCATTTATGTTTGAATTTGCATTGCATCACTGTCTCTGTGAAGTTCTTTCATTATTCATTTTCTCCCTCTCAGTGTTATTAATGTAGCCTTACTATTATAGTATTTATGCTATAATAGTAAGCATTTTAATTTAGCTATATTTTTATTTCAGTTTAGGTAATTTGAGTACTTCAGCTTAAACTGATTGTATTTCATTTTGTTGCCAAGGCAATATTTCTAATGAAGTTTTTTTATATATATATAATTTGTATATTTTAATTCAGCTGCTATTCAAAACACTGCTCCTTGTCATTTCAAACCCATCACTAACAAACCTGCTCAAGCCTTCGTTTCTTATGTCTATCTCATGTGCAATTTATTACCCAATGACTATTTTTATCCTGTGCCCTATGATAATAGTAGTAATAGTAAAAGTGATCATGATTGTTTTTCAGGGGCCCATCCATTCTCTAGCATTCTCACCTAATGGAAAGTTCCTGGCATCTGGATCCACAGACGGGAGAGTTTTACTATGGGATATTGGACATGGGCTGATGATCGGAGAGCTGAAGGGTCACACAGACACAATTTATGCCCTCAAGTTCAGCAGAGACGGAGAAATCCTCGCATCAGGTCAGCACACAACCTACTGAATGCCTTCTGTCGTCTGATTGATAGTCATTCAGTTCAAAACTCCATGTGTTTTGTTCCAGGTTCTATGGATAACACAGTTCGGCTGTGGGACTCCATGAAGGCTTTCGATGAAGTGGAGACTGACGACTTCACCGCAACGACGGGCCACATTCACTTGCCCGATAACTCCCAGGAGCTGCTGCTCGGCATGTACCACAGCAAATCCACACCTGTCACCCACCTGCATTTCACCAGACGCAACCTGCTACTGGCTGCAGGCGCCTACAACTCCCAGTAACGTGACCACATCTTCCTGAGGACAATGACCTTTTGTAACTGTATTTGTTTTTTGTGAATGGTGCATGTTATTGAAAGATCACTGCTTACCCTAATATGTGAAATAGGTTCAAGCGAAGTGAAAAGCACTGAGCATACAGCGATACCTCTTGCATCATTCATATGCTGATTCTAGATCAGATTTTACACCTCATGCTCACGAGAAGCTTATTTCTTTTTCTCATCGATAGCATCACTGCCGTGCTTCCCCCCCCGAGGCCCTTACACATCACATGCCTCGAAATGATGTGGCTGGTCTCTTTTTGTCTTTGTAAATCAGGGCTGTCCAAACTCTGTCCTGGAGGGCCGGTGTCCTGAAGAGTTTAGCTCCAACCCCAATTAAACACACCTGAAGCAGCTAATCAAGCTCTTACTAGGCATACTAGAAACTTGAAGGCAGGTGTGTTGAGGGAGCTAAACTCTGCAGGACACCGGCCCTCCAGGACCGAGTTTGGGCACCCCTGTTGTAAATGATAAACTCTTCCATTCTTATTCAGAAGCTTGTCATTGATCTTTGAAATGTGTCGCATATGAACACGGTTCACAGTTTCTGTACAAATTTTAATACTAGTTCCTAAAATTGTAAATAAAATTTTCTACACAACGTTTGTTTGGTGTAAGTGATCTTTTTTTTTTATTCTTTACATAGTTGAAGTGACAAGGTCAAAACAAGGACATCCAGCTTCCCGCACCCCTAGTTTCATCACAAAACATCCTGAAAACAGAAAGAAGAGTTGGAACGTAACTTTTGGAAATGTAAATGTTGGTTAGAGTTCAATTTAGGCAGTACTTACTATAAATTAACTTGATTTCACGGCCTTTTGCTTCTTGGGCTTCAATTTAAAGAAGAGGATAATGGCAGCAATACTGGCGTATGTGGCCAACACACACTAAAGTCAAGGGACAGAGTCTGGATTACTTAATTTAGTGGAAAAATACAAAGGCAGTGCACACTTGAGTTTAACTGCATAATAATGGCAGAATTTGCATTATTCGAGGGTATATATAAAAGCTTACATTCCTCCTGCCTGTGATTGTGTATGAATTGAAGTACTTGGCGATGCCAGTGAACTGGTGCTGAGTTCCAGCGTCGTGTCCTCCCATGATTTCTGTGCGCAAACTGTTAATATACGCATTCATAAATGAAAATAAATACATTCAAAGTTACGCATCGTTTTTCATAAATGCGTAAGGACCATAGACTGTAAGGACACGCAAAATGCGTAAAGGACGACACTGCATATTGGAATAATGAATTTCCTGAAATGTAGTTGTAGTTTTAACATGAGACTTTATAGGTAATTTCAATAATGTTTCAAAGATATTTAATATTATAATTTGTAGCACCTCAGTCAAAGCGTCTTGATGGTAAATGCGACCTGAGGGCTTTACTGAGCAGCGTATATTCGTTCTGCAAGCAACATAAAACCAGCATCGATTTCTAAAACACGCTGAATAAAAGATATTTCTATTAAACTGTGAATCATGACTTACCGAGCGAGCTGCTGCCCTTCAATGGAGTGGCCGGAAAGTGACTGATTTAAGGAAATCCCGCCTTCGCGGTGATAGCCCGAATGGACTGCAGTAACTGGATTACACTCACGTCAATCACTTCTTGCGCTAACACAATAGGTTCGCAGAGACGTCAATCTAATTTTCCCGTCATCCTATTGGTTGATTATTTTCCTTTCGGTATAATCTGAAATCCCGCCTCTCAGCACTCTTCTGAGGAACATGTGAGATTTACTTGCACTGAGTGAGTGTGTTTACATGCGTTGAGCGTAAATCAAATTAATTTGTTGTTACCGCTAGAGGGGTTTAATGGCAGTTGTTGCGTATTTACATGTAAGGAATATGTTGACTAAACGGTGCATTATAGTATAGTTATATAGGTTGTTTTTCTAATGTGTCTCTGCCTGCAGTTTGGTAAGAACATGTAAGCGCTCCCCGCTCCGCTCACGCTCCGCTCCGCTCACATGCTCTGGGTGGGACAGAGAAAAAGACCACTGAGCCCAAAAATGTTAAGGCACATGGCTTGGACAATCTTTTTGAAGTAAGATGATGATGATGATGATGAAGATGATGGTGGTAGTGGTGACTACAACAGTGATTTTAATGAAGATCAATGTGCATACAGCAGCTTGCACATCTTGCTATGAGTGTAATATACATGTATGTAATATTTTTCAGACTAATTCAAAAACATCACTTTAGAACTAGTGACGAAGGACTAGTGAATGTTGTATCACTGTATTATGTAGAGCAAAGTATTATGAGAGAGAGACGGACTGAGCGAGTGCGGACTTACCTGCATCTGATACAGCATTCATTCTTCAGCTTAATCTCATATTCACAATAAAACATTAGAAAGTGATTTCTTTGTCGTACTATCCTTTCATCTATTAAGGGTGATTTCTGATGACAGCGCTGCTCACTGCATTCGTTGTCTAAGGTGTTGTTGAAGGTAAAAATAACTCGCTTGTTTACAACCCTGTTTCAGTCTCTTTCAATATAAAAGTCTTTACTGCTGACTCGTAAAACAGTCTCTTGTCTCCATCTAATGGCGGAATAATGTAACTAAAATCACCATCATGAACACACACTGTTTCTCAATACTAGATACTATTATTAAATACTATTATTTATATAAAATATAATTTATTGAATAATAATATTTAATAAACGGCAATAACAGCCATCATAAAGTTTGCTAGGCAATTCAGTCAAAAGAACAAAGGCAGCGCTCTGATATTCAGCATTAAAAGTTATATAATGTTATATATAATTATATAACGTTATGAGACTTTGGCCTCAGCCGAAACTATTTGCTAAGTGACAAGTAATAGATCAACGAGACCAAAGACTGCCCATTAGATTTACCCAAAATGAATTATATCTCATGTTTAACCACTATAGAGACATCAGAGCCAGCGGCAAATTCCAGAAGATCTGTGAGAAATACTGCAAGCGGAGTGATACAAACGGTGAACATTTGGAGTGCTGTTATCACTAGAATATTGCACGACTGGAAAAGGCCCTCAGCCAATCAGATTCAAGGACCAGAAATTACCGTTTTATATATGGATGGATGGACGGACGGACAGTGTTAATTTCGTTGACGAATAATTTCCGTCAATGACATTTTTTTCACCGACGACAACGAGAAGATAACCAATTAACCACTATAGAGACATCAGAGCCAGCGGCAAATTCCAGAAGATCTGTGAGAAATACTGCAAGCGGAGTGATACAAACGGTGAACATTTGGAGTGCTGTTATCACTAGAATATTGCACGACTGGAAAAGGCCCTCAGCCAATCAGATTCAAGGACCAGAAATTACCGTTTTATATATGGATGGATGGACGGACGGACGGACAGTGTTAATTTCGTTGACGAATAATTTCCGTCAATGATATTTTTTTCACCGACGACAACGAGAAGATAACCAACTAAAACTCTCTTTGAATGACAAAAACTATGACGTAAATCTATTGGCATTTTCTTCATCGAATAAAAACTAAATTAAAGTGTTAGGGAGGGACGATTTGGGAAGAGATTCATTCAGAACGAATCTGCTGCGTGGTTCGGAGGTTAGATGCGTACATATGAACTGGCGGGACATAAGCTAACATACACTTGCTGCACGTCGCATAACACGTTAAAAAATGTCAATATGTGGGAGTAAGAGAAGAGCAGACAAATCTGATGACGCAAGAGAAAACTCAATTCGGTCCAGTTTTCTGAGCGCACACACTGAAGCATACACACACAGAAAGCAAGTCTCACAGCGCGGGAGTACTCTTTCGCGTCGCATGAACGGAGAATTACACACAAAATGATGTTGAATTGTCCGTTTTGACAGGTATTCAAGTAAACACAGTTGATTACGTCTTAAGTGAACGTAAACAGTAGCGAGAACATGTATCAGATTCAGTACATTGAATTCATTGCAGCTGTGCATTCGGTTTTAAAGGGAGCAGCAGCCTAATTTAGTTGCAATTGTCTGAGTCACTGATGTTAATCAAGCAACAAAAGACAGAAAATCACGCACTGCTCTTGACTGAAAAACTTTAGTAGCCCTAAAGATGAATCTAAATTTATTTATAGAAATAAATATGTCTGCTTGAAAGAATGAAGAATATGGTAAACAAGTTGCTATAAAGAATGCATAATTAGCCTATATAACCATTGGTATTTCATTCAAAAGAAGCCAATGTTCTTGTTTTTTATGAGAAGTGGTTTTACTTAATTTTAACAAAGGCATGTTGTGTATCACCGCAATTAAATTGGTGTCTATCATGACACATACAACCTTAATATCAAGCCTATATAATGAGTTTGGAAATTTTAGAGAAATGCTTAATAAATGCACTGTAACTAAACCCATTAGATTTTAGCCGACTAAATTTACTGTAGATTTAGTCAACTAAAATCTTATGATATTTAGTTGACTAAAACTAAAAACAATTCAGATGACTAAAATATGACTAAAACTAAATTGCATTTTAGTCAAAAGACTGACTAAAACTAAATCAAAATTTGCTGTCAAAATTAACAGTTAGACAGATAGATACATAGATAGATAGATGGATAGATGGATAGATAGATAGATAGATAGATAGATAGATAGATAGATAGATAGATAGATAGAGATATACACTGTATAGATATCTATATTTTTACTGTCCAGAAAATTTCACATTTACTTCATAAAATAAATAAATAGAAATAATTGTGCAAGGGCATGAACTGTGAATGATGAGTTTTTCTTTGTAATTCTGCTGGCTGTGTATTCCAAACAGATCTTGGCAATGAAGTACATGTGAAATTTCCCACGAAGTAAACACTTGTTTCAGTGGAACTCACTTCTTATGGAAGGTGTGTGAACACGGGCACACGCCCAGCTCATCTCTGGTCTTGAATTCCTCTAGACACACGGCACAGGGCTGCTGTGATGCAGAAACAAAATATTTTAGTCTCCTTTTCTTTTACACACATCATTCACCCACTTGAGCAGTAGGAATGCTAGCTGTAACTTTGCCAGCATTTTCTCTTTGTTTTGGTTTCAGTCACACTTTTTCCTACTGCATGATGGTGCAAAGGGGCTGGAGTTCCATTCTCTTCTACTGGCTATTAGTTTCACGTCTGGGTTTTCAAAATGCAGGTCACCAGTTGGTTGAGAGGACCAGAAAATCTTGCAGAGGTCTGTTTGCATAATCAAGAATTTCCCCTGAGGTTTTTACGAATCAAATGAACACATCATAACCTAATCGAGCCTCGCTTGCAAAGGAATTTTTAATGCACTGCGTGGGAGATCTGAAATGCAGAACTAGCATCTTTGATTCTGACGCTTAAAAAATAGAGCTGGGCATTCTCAGGAAACATTGCCAAACGGTGACATACTGCTGATTTAATCAACCCGATACTGAACTTTGTCACATAATTTGGTCTATTGGTCTATTTATTGTGTAATACAAAAATAAAAATTATTTAAATTAAAAATAATGCTTTGATCTTTCTGACGTCATACACATTTTAGACCATTTAGTTCAAACATTCACGCATGGTCTTAAAATACAAAGGCACTTTACAGAGAGCTTATGAAACTTACTCCCAGCAGGCTTAGCTTCTTTCCTGCGCCTTTCAACACCACCTTTCAGGAAAAAATAAAGAAAAAGAACAATGTGATGTTTAACATTACAGTAAATCACTTGAAGTTGAGAAGCATAATTTCTGCACTACTAGCGCTACCTAACGGAACTGCATTTTCGGAAACAGCTTTCTGAACACGCCCCCCCCCCCGTCAGCCATTGGGCGAACAAACAGATAGCCACGCCCCCCAACGCACGCCATTGGTCTAAATCCGATTGGTCGAGTCAGCGTTGTGAGGAGTAGAACAAAAAGGTAACGCCAAAGAGACACAATGTTTATAGTGTTTGAGAAAAGTAACTTATAACGTCATACTTACAGTTGACTATACAATAAGCTGGGATAAAAATAAAGTATGTTAACACCGAAAAAGTAACATATTTCATCTCTACTTGGAAAAAGGTTATACTTTTCCCAGCCACTACTAACAACTACTGTAAGTAACTGAAAATTGACAAGTGTGCGTTATGTATTCAGTTGCAGTTTAGACTGCTAGGTGTTTGTTTTTACATGCTACATAGCAGTTTCTATGAATACGGTACACTTTGGCACTTTGGTGACCCATTGTTTTTGTTTTAAAAATAAAACAGGTGCCACATTTTTATTGTGAGACCCATTCGATATTTTAGATGAATTATTATTATTTGACATCAAATCGAATGAGCCTGATCAACATTATGAAGGTTAAGTACCTCCTTTCACCATTTTGAAAAAGACTAAATTCATTTTCAGGCCTAAGTTTTAGGTGCTTTTTCTTTGAAAATAACATTCTGTCTTGTGTCATATATAATAGTATCATATCTCACATGCCAACTATATATATATATATATATATATATATATATGAGCAGAGTATATCATGAAGGTCATCTGTTAGATCGGATTTCATCAAGACTCTGGCAAAGACTGTGCTATATTCACATCTAACTGTATTGTTTTATGCCCACCTCATTGTAGCTGTACTGCTCCCTTGTACCTTGCTGTTTCAACCTGTAAAGAGAAGAGAGAGAAAACATTGAACACTTCTGCACTTCCTGAGTTCAACTGCAAAAACTGCTGTGGGTGGTGCAAAAGAGAGATGTTGTAATTGTGTAATTCATTTTGCTGCAGCATTTGCTCTATCAAACCCTCTCATAATCATATAAAATACTTTGACATAATATATACACTAAATTACACTAATAATTTATACTGTGTCAACTCAAAGTCTGATGAAATGTGGGATTCAAATTGTAATTTAAATTGCACCATTAAAAAAATAAATGTATGTGAATAGGATGATTCATTTTAGAAAAAAATACGCAATGCCAATGTCTAGACATGTCTCCCTGTGTCTTTCTACATGTCTTTACAGGAGCAAAGAACAACAGAGAGGACACAATCTGATTTGTGTAACAGCAGTTGTGCAGGAGTGGTGAATGTATTTGGGTTCGTGCCTTAACAGATAGCAGCAGAAGATTACACTGAGCATGAAGATGAACATGCCTATGCCCAGTACAATGACGTAGACATTGAGCGGCAGACGGTAGATGTCTTCCTCTGACATATCACAGTCTGAATGCTGCAGCCCTAGACCACAGAGGCAGCCTGCACACAAACACACACTTTAAATCACACACAATGGCTCAAAAACATTTGAGCAGGAAGAACACTTTTCAGGGGAATTCTTGGAAATTAGCTTTGTGCAAAACAAATATAAACAACTGTGTAATTACCGCCAACAAACCACCATCTGGCCTTTCAGGAAGCCATGTGTGTGTCAGTGTGTGTTATAAAAGTTTACCATTACTGTTTTCTTACCATGAAGTTCATCTCCATTCATATTCTCCGGTCAGTCATCATAAGAGGTAAAGATTAACACAGCGTCTGCAAGAATCCCCCTTAGTGTGAATCTGTGGAACGATTAATCTAAGATGCTTATATAGAGGAGCTTCCACAGAGATTATTGTAAGCTTGTGTCATTCTGATGAGACGGTAAAGTGAGATTTAATGTGTGCCATATGCACAGGATTCAGATCTTAAAACAATTTGGAGAATGTATTATTAGTATTATATTTTGGCATATATGGAAGCAAAGATTTCAGTTTTCTACAACTGAATGCTTTTTAATTAGATTATTATTATTATGTAAGGCTACTGAATGATTATTTTTTAAGTGTATATGGTACTCAGAAAATACCATAGTATTACCATGGTACATTTTTGTTAATGGTTGACATTTGCCATGTGCAATGCACACAATTTTCTAGTTATGGTCCATATTCTTGTTAACGCTTTATTCAGAAGTAGTTTGCTTGCTCAGCAGCTTCCTGTTTACATATATTCCAGTTATGCATGTATGCATATACACACACACCCACACATATGTATATCATTCAGATGTTTGTGGTCAGTAGGATTTTATTTATTTTGAGAAAGAAAATATAATTTTTTTCACCAAGGACACATTGGATGGCTCAAAAAGGCATTTTTAATGTTACATAAGATTTCTATTTCAGATCAATGCTGTTCATTTGAACCTTCTATTCATCAAGAATGCTGAAATGTAGTAGTTTCCACTATATATACCTGAGCACCAAATCAGCATATTAGAATATTTCTGAAGCATCATGTGACACTGAAGACTGGAGTAATGATGCTGAAAAGTCAGCTTTACCATCACAGCAATAAATTAAATTATAAAATATATCAAAATAGAGATTATTTCTTTTAACCTGTAATAATATTTCACAGTAGTACTGTTTCTATTGTATTTTTTAGCAGTCTTCCCCATGATCGTGTAGCCTCGTGAACCAAACTGAGAGACCATTTTGAAGGCTCAGGAAAGCTTTGCAGGTGTTTTGAGTTGATTAGCTGATTGGCATGTCACCATATTCTAATTTGTTGAGAGAGTGAATTGGTGGGTTTTTGTTAAATGCGAGCCAAAATCATCACAATTTAAAAAACCAAAGACTTAAACTACTTCAGTCTGTCTGCACTGAATTTATTTAATACACGAGTTTCACAATTTGAGTTGAATTACTGAAATAAATTCTAATTCTAATTTATTGAGATGCACCTGTATATCAACCTCAAACTTTGGGTGGTATATGCATATATGTATATATGACCCAAAAGCCTTAATAATGCATAAATGTGCCAGCTGTTTTATTTGTTTTATCTGGTTAAGGCAATCCGATTGACTCCTTTACATATGACATATATACGTGATCAGAATCTGAGCAATTTCCGCTAATAATGACAATTCGGTCCTCGTCTCATTGCTAAACGTTACTGTTATTGAACATTTGACTCGTTATAGGTCGTCCTACGTTTTCATCTAAAAATAAAACTCTAGACATATCAGTTTTCAGAAGAGCAAAAGGCTGACAGACAGCATGCGGGTTGTTAAAAACAGTCTAGGCATAGCACAAAGATTTCCTTAATCTTAACAAGCTGCTCTTGACCTTTCCGAATAGTTCCCTTCGACTTCTTCAAACTGGTTTCAACATCCTGAGCAGCAATACCACTTCTGTGACTAATGCTGAAGGGGGGGAAACGAACTCAAGTTCAGTTTGGACTTTTCGCAAAGGCCACACTCACCGTTACACCATTGGAATGGTTGCATGTAATCTGAGTCCAAGCACTGCGGCTGCAAACTCGCTGATGGTCTGAAGCAGGCAATGCGGGGGCTGGAGGAGGACACAACCGAAAGCTTGATTCCAGCTTGATTTATTCCCGAAGTTGTTCCCGTAGGTCAGACGGGTCTAAAGACCAGCTCTTCAAATGACAGGGTGTGCTGTCTTGATTATCCTTCAATCATTCCTCCATTCATCCCACTTTAATGATGTCAGCATCGAAGAACAAAAGATTTCAATCACTCTTTAGCTCCGCAGATGTGAATATGCACAAGGTGCTTTGTTACACAGACAAAGGGAGCATAATGTGCCCTTGATATTCGTCTTGTCTATGAGAACCAGTCCATATGTGGCTGAATGGCACTTCAGCTGTGGTCTTCTTTGTGTTGTCATACACGAAAGTTAACCAATTCCTTAATAATAATCCCTGTGTATGGTGGTTTAGCGAGCACTAAACATCCAAACTGATACAAGACTCCATCTACAGCCTTTGTCTTCCCTCAAACCCTTATTGCGGAAGACTTTGGCATGTCTCTCAGTCGATTTGTCTAGCTCTTCCTCGTTGACGTCGCTCTCGATCCGTCTCGTTTTTTGAGGTATGTTCCTTTATCGAACAGCAAGCCGTTTGGAACCACCGTCGAGCCACTGGAGTGTTTATGTGTGCGCCAGTGTGGGGGAGTATTTTTTCTCTCCACCTAAAACCATCTGCTCTCTCAAACCTTCCATCAAGAAAGTGGACAAAAAAATGAATAGTCCCTTAGCTCATTCAACAAATATCCGAGCCAAAACGCAAGCAGCTGGGGTTAAAGATGTGTTCTAGTGAGGCCAGCTAGTGATATTCTCCAGAAAGGCTCCTGCGTCTTTCCTGGCCGCACAGTTTCAGTTTGTAAACAGATCTGTGTTCATGTGATCCTGGTTTGCCTCGCAACTGTCCTCCAATCCCTCCCTCCCTTCCTGAGCGAGTCCCCTCCTTCAATCCTCTGCTCGACTGCGGTCACAGGATGGCCTCCGCTTGCTCAGAGGGCTGCAACATTTTGAAGGAGGTAAGGTATGGGACTACATCTCTGCCACAATTCTGCACGCGAAAGATCATATTTTGAGCGCTTTGCACGCGCGCGAACTGAGTTTTGTGGAGAAAATGTTTGACTCGCAAAGAAGAAAGTATTTCGAGCGCACGAAAATCAATTTTGCATTTAAAATACGTTTTTGGATGTGTGCAGACCTCTTTTGTGAGTGCAACGTTTCACTAGCTTGCTAGCCTATGCCTATAAATGCCAACAGCTCACTTGCTCAACACAACACAGCGTTGCAATGTGCCATAATTCCAGCCAATCAGAGACTAGGCTGCTAAATTCTGATTGGCTGCCTTGACAACCACTCACAACATTTCTTGCATTGCCTCAACAGCAGAAGAGGAAAAATACAGTGCATGCATAATTATTATACAAGTTGATATTCTGATCATATTTTTTTCCCCAAGCACATTTGCCCAATTCCAAACGACATCAATCTTAATAACTACTATTAATCTTGTATTTAATCATTTATAATTGATATATAATTATTCATGAAGGCTGGAAGTGGAAACATGTCTTATATTCAGGTGTGCATTTCTTTTGAAGTATTTCTAAATACTTTTGTCTTTGCAAAACGAACATTATCGCAACAAAACTCAGATCGCGCGCGTGCAAAATGCACTTTTGTGCGCTCAAAATATGATATTTCACGCGCAGAATTGTGGCAGAGATCTAAGCCTATAGTAAGGCCGCATGCATGCGCGCTGCTGCAGAAAACAGAAGTCGAAGGTGACAGACAAAGCGAGAGTAAAAAAAAAATAGTGCAGCAATAGTGAATGAGTGAGCACATTGACACGTATATGCAGGAGATCTGATGCAGATCATGTTGCTGTCTGACCTACTAAAGCACTGACATGATCAGAGCCTGTTTATGTTCATCCACAGAATATAATTGTAGCTTTTAAATGGAGAAAGGGGGGGGAAATACAACAGACTCAGGTGACCAACCCCCAACACTAATGCGGGATTCAGCTCTAGAGACAACAGCTGCTGCTTGCCTAACAACCATGTGCTCTCCATGTCTCTGTTTGTCACACTCAGCTATCTTGACTTATCGGTGTGGTGTACGAGTTCAGTTTTGTGTCAACCAGATTATTTGCTGGTTATCTAACAAATCACAGGTTACACTTCATTCTGAGAATGCCATTCGCTGTCATGTTTCTTCCAGCTTTGTTATTGTTAACTAAAACTAAAACCATAAAAAAAAAGCTGAAATCAAATAAAATATAAATATTAGATGGAAAAACGTAAGCTTAAATGAAAATAACGAATAACTGAAATAACCTAGTTTAAGTTGAAACTAAAACTGAAATACGTATAAAATAATATAATAGAAAATGAATAAAAATGTCAAAAACTGATAAAATGACTAAAACTTTAAATACTTGAAAATAAAAACATTCTAAAGATTAATAAATATTATAATAGTATATAAAATAACACAGATTTCTTCAGTGTCCTTGATGTGATTATTAAAATTAATTAAAAAAAATAATAATACATTTGTAACCTGTAATAAAATATCTATAATTCATCCATACTTTTTATGGATTTTTAGATGTTTAATCATAATCTAAACTGAGTAAAACAATCATACACAATTTCAATATGGAAATTATTTAGGCCTATATAATTTTGAACTATATATATATATGTATATATATATA